TTTCTTCCTGTCCTAAATTCTCACACGTCCTTTGTAACAGCAAGAGAAAGCAGGTTGTGTGGGGTAAGCTCAGACATACTGAAAGCTGTTGAAAAACCAAAGCCATAAGGCTGCTGCTTGAGCATCCCGGGGAGTTTGCTCCTTGCCTGTAACACTGATTTTGCAGATGTGTGATGGGAGGATGCTGGTGTCTCCCAGAGATCTGCCCACATCTGAACCTCATCGCCGTGGAGCAGGGCAGCTGCTGGCCCAGGAGCACCAGCAGGTCTTGGGTGGCTTTATTTTTGAACAGACGTGGGCAGTTTCCATCATGCACAGCTGCAGGAATGCCTGCTGCAACACCCGGAGGACCCACAGCCCGGCAAGGTGAGGGCTGGTTGGGGCCGGGGTAGCTGCATGGCTCCGGCGCTTCCCTCTGGGCAAGTGGGTGCCCTGGAAAGGGAAGGGAAAAGGGAAGGCACCCGGGAAGTCCTGGTGTCTGGTCACAGTTTCTGGGTGAGAGCACCTCTTCTGCCTTCTCCGGTGGCTGAGGTATCACCAGCTCTTTGCAGCCTTTCACTGAGGATTTTCATTGAATTCACGGGAATGTTGTTGTCTGAGACCCCAACCCTCTGCCGAACTTCCCTGATAGGAGACAATAGAAACATTTTAGGGGGAGAGCATACAGATCCGCGCAGAGTCTGCATGTGCAAGCTGTGTTTCCTCAGGAGAGCGGGATGAGCCCGAGCTCCTTCCTACCAAGCTCTCAGGAGTCTGCCGCGGCCCGAAGCCGGGGCTGGGACAGCGCAGGTGACAGCCACGGTCCTCTGCCGTGGGATGCGGTGCAGCATCCCTCCTCTCCGGGCTGCACGTGTCCCCAGGTGGGAGCCGTGAATGCAGCCAGGACCTGGGAAGCAGCGCGGGGGAGAGTCAGAGATGATTAAAGGGCTGGGAGGGAGACTCGCAGGAAATGTGAGAGAGTAAATCAGTCAAGCTTGCCTAAGTTATGACTAAATGGGGAGCGTGATACATCTGCAAATATTAGAAATGTGTAAACAGAGAGGAGGGAGAGGGATGGTTTATGGAATGATTGAAGGGAATGAACTTTTGGATGGAAAAATGTAGGTCAAGTATGAGGGAAAACTTGTAGGCAGCGAGACGAGTGCTTTCAGCAGTAAAACAACCTCCTCCGGAAACACGAGGAAGTGCCGTTGATGGAGACGTTTCACGCTAAGCCGGAGGAGGGCCTGGAAAACAGGGTGAGCGGGAGGGATGGATTCGGTGTGTCCCATGTGGTCCTTCCACCTGCACCCTCCAGGCTGGCAGGTGAGGCCGGGCACGCCGGCGGCACCCGTCTGGGTCCGTGCAGGCTGCGCCGGGCTTCGGGGGGGTCCTCCGGGGCTGACAAGGGTGACCTTGTCCTTGGGGAGCAGTTATCCTGCAGCCATCGCTTGTGAGGGTCCACGTGCGGCACTTCTGTGTCCCCTTGGCACCAGGGAAGCGTGGAGCAGCATCCTCGCACCGCTGCTCGCCCCGGGGAGGGGAGGAGAGCAGAGCACCCACCGCCGGCCCCGGGCAGCACCTTGGTTGTGGATCACGTTGAGGATTTGATCCCCTTCCCATTCCTGACCCGTTCGTGGATGGATGCCGGGGTCTGCTGTTGCGTGTGCTGCCGCTTTGGCACTTGCAACAGAATTTTTGTGAGCAAATGTGGCACTGTGAGCTGTATATAAATGCTGCACTTCACCTATTTGCTATTTATTGTTCATTACCGTGGAGCACTGAAGAGCATGTGCAAGAGAGAGACTGAAGTGGCAGGGCACTGTTTGGTGCTATGTGACTGGCAGACTTGTTGCATAGAAAAAGCCCAAATGATTAATCACAAAAAGGGAGAGACAAGTTATCTTTTTCTGGTACGTATCTTAATTCCTGTTTAAATTTGCAGGCTGTTTGTGTTGTAGTTAATGCATCCAGTTTTTAATCCCGAAAAATTTATGACTTTGGGGAGAATTCATCCCATCCAACTTCAGCCATTTAAAATTCAAGCAGCTAGTTGACGCTAGCTGTCAGAAATCCTCTCCAGTCAACAGGGAAAGAGAGCAGCACCTCCAGCCTCCTCGCTGTTGGGTGGTCGGGGTGCTGCGGAGGGTTGCGTTATTCTCAGGCTGCCCTCTCTCTGTTGCCAATAAAGGCAGCCCAAATAGCTAACGCAGATAATTAATCATAATTAAAATAATAACCAATTTTTAGAAGATTGAAATTAAGGAAATTCACCCCTTCCTGAATACCTTAAATCTCCAATAGACCTAAAAACTCTCTGGAAAACGTGTTTCATAGTAATTTCCATGGGAGTGCTTGCTGGGGGCAGGTCTGCATGCCTGCCTGCTGCCTGCCCGGCTCGTCGGGGCTGTGGTGGGATGCTTGTGCCCTCTAACAGGGAGAAGGGGAAGGCATCACCTTCAGCCCGGGGAGCCGGTGCCCCTGCCTGCGGGCCGGCTGCCTGCTCTCCTGGGGCTGCTGTCTGCCATCCTCGGTACATCCCTCCCAGAGGCATCCCCACGTTTCGGGCTGTCCCATGGCATGTCTTTGCAGCTGCAAGCTCTTTGAGGCAGGGACCTCTCCGGTTTGCTCCAGATTACGTGCATGGCTGTAGTCGTGTGTAACAACAGCATCGTGTTGAGGTAGGGACTTGCCGAGTCCTCGGCCTGAAGTAAGGATGTGTCCCATCTGGCTAAGTCCTGGACAGTCTGTGGGTGGCTTGAAGCCCGTTTTACACCTTCTGGTTCTCCGTCCCCTCTATCGTAAGGCATCGGTGTCCACTGAGACGTCTAACCTTCCTTTACGTCCCGTTGAGGTCCCGTGGATGCTTTCCCAAAGGAGAAGAGCTCATCGCGCTTGCAGGGTGTCGTGTGCCACCCTCCCGAGGGGTCCTTCTGTGTCCTCCTCACTGCCCCACTGTCCCCTCGGGAGCAGAGGCTGGTGGGGAGGACACGCATTGCAGCTGGGGCTGGGGCATCTCTGGAGCATGGGCCGTGCTGGCCTGTCTCCCCTCCTCCTCCTCCTCCTCGGTCCCGGGGGAATCAGCTTGGACAGATGCTGATCCAGACCTCGAAGCTCTCCCTCCCGGTTGTGTCCTCACAGTCTGCTTGCAGAGTCAGTCCCTTCTCTGGAGCCGTTCCACTTTGTCTAAGTAATTAACATCCAACAGGCTAGGGAGAAAAAGCAGGACCGCAGCTGAATTTCCCACATCTCAGCTGAAAGCAAAGCCCTGACCACAGGGCTATTGACTGCTCTGAAAGGCTTGCTCCATATGCTGTGTCCTGGTCCCGATTAAACTTCTTGTGATGAAAGTTTCACCAAAACTAACATGCTTCCATGAAAATTCTGGTTTTCATGATTTGGCATTTTCCAGGAAAAAAAAAAAAAAAAAAGAAACTAAAATAACTAGCCAAGAATTTCCCAACCAGCTTTAATCCTGAGACACTACCATGGTCCAAACAAATGATGATAAGGATCTATGGAAACATGGGGAAACAAAGAAGTGATGTTTTTAAAGCCTCCAGAAAATAAAAATGCAGCTGGAAGGAGGAGCACGGGTTTTTCTCCAAGCATGCCGAGGAGGGAAATTCATTCCCTTTGAATCGCGGGGAGTCCTTTCTAGTTCGTTTCAAAGGAAGTTGGATGTGGTCATTAACATGACCTTAACTCTATTGCTAGTGCCTAGATATATTCATAGATGAGCTGGAAGTGCCACAGAGGGTGCTGCTCTTCCCAGCGGTGTCATGGGTTTCTTGCAGCCTGAGGAATGACTGCTCACCACGAGAAATGAGAGATCGAGCGAAGACAAACAATTTCCACCCGTGCCTGATGCTTTGGGAGATAAGGGGGGATGCGGGAGATACGGTCTTAACCGAAACCATCTGGGCTGTGCCCAGCCAGCTGCGATGGGCACGAACGCACAGAGGGTGGAAGGGAAGAGCTGGGTTTTGCTGAGGAGGGTCATCTCAGTCAGCTGCAGATGAAAACTGCTTTCTCTCCCCTGCTTGCGAGTGGCAGTGGTGGAGGACCCGAGGGAGGGGGATTGGGAGCTGGGAAACAGGCAGACTGGAGAGGTAGGGGTTGTGGCACAGCCGTGCAGTCGCAGGTGAACCCCCGGGTTGCTTTTGCTTCTGGAAATGTTGGCAAGTACAGCTCTAACCAGCGGAGAGGCAAGCAGAGCACACGGGGGCATCTGTACCACTCTTTGGTACATTTGTCTGAGTGTCAAAATATGCCTGTAAAATGAACGCGTTCCCCTGCAAGGTCTGCCCATCTGAGCCAAAAGAAACAGCACAGTGAAAAGTGCCAGATGTCTATGAATTGGGAATCTCCCCCAGAACCAGGTAGATGAGTGGGGAAGGTGAGGAAGGTGTTACTTGGTGGCAGAGAGGGACAAGCCTGAGGCTGCAGCAGCCGCGGGTACCGCATCCCGGCAGTGCCTGCCTGCTTCTGGCCGGCAGCTTTTCCAGCAGGCAGAGACCTTTGAAAATTTCCAGTAAAGGATCACCCCATGGTCTGTTTTGCTGTCCCATGTTCAGAGCCAATGGGGACCAAAGTGCTTCAGAGGAGGCATAAATCCCTACCCTGCCCCGGGGGAGCAGCAGGGTGTCTCTGGCAGGAGGAAGATGCTCTGGGACAGGGGATAAGCGGTGCTTGAATTTTTCACGTGATGGACTGAGCTCTCGGGCCACCCGTCTTGGCAGAGTCACGGCGGTCTGTCGCAGTGCCTGTCTGTAGGGGACGTTAGTCCGTGTGGTTAATTCGCTTTCTTTTTTTGATGGATTTAGTTTGTTAGATGAGTTCCACAGTCCCAACGCTTCAGCGGTTTATTCTAATTGATCGGTGAGTTCGGTAAGCGACCCCGATTTCTCACGTGAGCCGAGAGGAGTTCTCCCTTCCCCTTTTTACCCCGTGTCTCTGCGATGCTTTGGCTACCCTGGCATTTGGGGAGGTGACATGTCCCTCTCGGTGGCTTCCCCTAGGCTGTCTACAAGGCCTGGCTGTGCTCCGAGTATTTCAACGTGACCCAACAACAGTGCCGACACCGGATCCCATGCAAGCAATACTGCCTGGAGGTGCAGACCAGGTGCCCGTTTGTGTTACCGGACAATGACGAGCTGATCTATGGAGGTTTGCCTGGCTTCATCTGTACGGGTAAGGAGGTCCGGGGAGCGGGGCCGGGCTGCCGCACGCCCCGGGGGGCACGAGGGGACAGGGCAGGGGTGGGTGCTGATGAGCCCCGTCGCACTTTTGCAAGCCCTGCAACCAGATTTTGAAGGCTTTTTGGGGGCGGAGGGGGAGGAGGTACAGCCTGGAAGCACTGCCTGACTGCCGAAACGTGGCCGTCCGGGGGTGAGGTGTGAGAGGTTAACGGAGGCGCAGCAACAGCCCGACAGCTTAGCGCAGGACGTGACAGCCCTACCTCTAATCGAAGGCTAAAGCAAGCATGTAAGGGGCTGAAAGTGACGGGATTGAAGCAGGGCCGAGACGTTTAACTGCGACAAGCGGCGTTCGGGGAGTCCCGAACGCGCCCCGAGGCGGTGGTCTCTGCTTGCCGGTCTGCAGGCTCGCAGCCCCGTCGAGGGCCAGTCCCGGGGGGTCTCTGGGTGTCCCGGTTCTCAGGTTCTGCCCGTCCCGCGGTGCGCGGCTGGCAGGCACCGGGGCTCGCTCCCTCCGCAGCCCCGTCCGCAGTCTGCCGCTGACCCCCTCCTCTTCCTCCGCTTCCTTCCCGCAGGGCTGCTGGAGAACCAGCTGCCCGACGAGGAGGCCAAGTGCTGCGAGGTGCAATGGGACTCCTGCGACCACCCCCCAGACAGCAACGGCAACACATCCCCCAAATCCACCGCGTCAGAGTCACTCCATTTCCACCGCCACGACCCCCACCTCCATCACCAGCGGCAGAACCACTACCACCTCTACCACCACCACCACCACCAGTACCACCAGCCCCACTCCCCATCCTTGCTGCCGGTCTCCGCAGGGTCTCGCCTCGGCAGCAGCAGGATCAGACTGTGCGTGCTGGTCCTGATGCTTCTCCACACCATGGTGTCCTTCTCGAGCGTGCACGGCGGCAGCGGGGCGGCCGGTGGAGGGCTTAGCCTGGAGGCCCTGCCCGCCCTGGAGGAGAGCGTGGCACGGGACGAGTGACACGGAGGGGAAAGCCGACCTCCAAGAAGAACGCCAGATCTTTTTCCACTAAGGGGGGCACATGCTATTCCTCCAATGGGAGGCACGGGATTGGGGGTGACGCGCACACACACACCCCCGCACATACCCCCAAGAGCTGCTCGCCGCGGGGCATCCCCGTGATGAAGAGTCTCTAATGCGCACAGGGCTGCGGGACTCGGCTTTGAGAAGGGTTCGGTCAGTAGCAGCCGGGCAGCGTGGCGTGCCCGGCCTCGCCGAGGCGCCGGCGCGGGAAGGTATGGCACGGGGGGAGCGGAGGGGAGGGGGGGTCCCTTGGGAAGAGGTTTCCCCGTGGGACGGCCGCGCATCTCCCGGCCGCCTGCCGCGAGTGCCTTGGGCACCCACACCTTACCTGCCAGCGACATGCCAAGGGTTTGACGGTCAGCCCAGCACCCATTTCTTTTCCTCCTCGGTCTGTAAATCCCGAAGGGCCAGGCGGGCAGGGAGGCAGCCCCTCTTGGCACAGCCTTGCCCCCCCCCCCCTCCTGTCCCATGGGACAAACCCACCGACTCAAGGCAGAACCATCCTCGCGGGGTGCAGCGTCCTCAGCGCGGCATTCCCCTCGCCGATGGGATTTGGGGGACAGGAGTGGGATGCTATTATGCTACACTGTGGTACTACTCGGGGTTCGTCTCGTTACGTCCCCGACCTGCTCCTCCAGCCTTGCCTCTCCTGCTCCTCTGTGCAAGGAGGTGGAGAGGGAGGGGGAAGGCATGGAGCAGGAGGGACGTCCCCAGCATTCCCACGTCCCACTTTGCCAAGTGTCCCCATGATTTGGTTTAACCTTTTTTGCTTTCTTTCCTGACCGGAGTGGCTGGTCTCTGAGAGGAGTTAGGGAGATGTGACTCCAGCAGTGCACAGGCTAAGCGAGGGAGGGGAATCACGCGTGGTTAACAGTTGGACGCAGGACATCAGAAGGCATCCTTCCATGCTTCCCAGCTACAAATCATCGACTGGATGGCAGAAGGACTGGGCAAAAAGGGCTGGAGAAATCTGGCTTGTAGGGAGAGTCTCCCACACAAAGAAGAGGCGCTAATAAAGCCCAGCTGGGGAAGAGAGTTTTTATGAATACTTTCTATCCACGGATGCCCCCCAGATAAGAAAATTTCTAGGAGCCCAGCTGGGGCAGCTGGACTCAGCCGGGCAAGGTGCTGGCTGGTGCAGCCTCATTTGGCTCACTTAGTGGTTTTGTTTGGGTTTTTTTTAACCTGAGCTCAGCCTATCCAGGGATTCAGCCCCAAACAGACATCAGATCCCGCTTTCCTAGGAAACTCCCAAATTCTCCACCCACCCACCGGGAACTGTTCCCAGCATGAATACTGTGAGGTGGTGCACGGGGGATGGCGCTGCACTGCCGGGCCAGGCACCAGAGACGAGAAAGTTTATTCTGGCTGTGGATGAGGGGAAGGAGGAGGGTGCGTTTTAGCACTAGTCAGCTGCAAAATGTCCCAGTCGCGATTTGGATGTGAACCTGCTCGTTGCCTACAGAGGACGTGCGACGGTCCCTCTGTTTCTAGGCTGCCTCTTGACGGGGAGCCGACAGCAGAGCGCAGGGTGGATCGCTGCTGGAGCAGGAGGAATGTCCTGCTGCATCTCAAACCGATCCCAGGTCCCTGCGAGGGTCCAAGAAGTCACGGAGTTGAGGACTGTAAGAGCTTTGTGGTTTCTGGTCTGTTGAGGTGAAGCAAAACCAAGCAGAGCCCCATGAGCAAAGCTACTTCCTACCCGGCTGGAAGAAGGAAGTACCGGGCATCTCATGGGAAGGACGGGTTTCCTGACGTTTCCAGCCCATTTCCAGACCAAAGAGGCTCTGAGAAGCAGCTGAATGTTTGATTTCTGCTTTGACTTGAATCTCAGAGCTTTGGGGTGATGTTTACACATTATCAGTTGCCTGTTACCAAAGTCCCGCAGATACGAAAGCCTGTGAACCCGCTGTCCCTTGGTTATCAGGCTGGGAGAGGTGGGGGTCACGGAAGATGCAGAGAGTGTTTCCCGAGCAGATTTACTTGCTATTGCTACCCAGAAAAGGTAGGATGATTCTCGTTTGACTGTTCCTCACAGCATCCGTCTATTTTCAGTCTAGTTCACACCAATCTGAGAACCTGGGACATGCAGCAGTTCAGCAAACAGAGATCCGAGTCCTCCGTTTGCTCCGCTGCTCAGACATGAGTCGTGTAGCTGCTTTGATGACTAGCAAAAGCATACAGCCAGACCGAGGGAGGGAGCACAGTCCTGTGCCTGCCTCGAGACAGCCGGATCCAGTTCGCTCTTAAGGAAATTAGATTTTTCATGTACTGCCAAGAGTTAAGCTAATTCCAGGCGCCTCTCTCAGAGATAGGCTGCATCCAATCTTTGAACGACTCATCTAGAGAGAGAAGAATAGCCCAGTGTGGTGCGTCAGCAAGTGGCCCTGAGTCACTGGCCCTATTCATTGTCTGCTGGTGTGACGCTGAGCAGCGCCCGAGCCCGCGCGCTCGCAGGCAACGTGGTGTTACCGGCTCGCTCTTCTGCACCCCGTGTGCGTGTGTAAACCCCGTGCAAAGACCGTTCTTGAGGGGTTCGTGCCCTTCTGCTTGCCTGGAAGCTCTTCGGCACTGCCGGCGAGTGGAGCGATGGACCAGCGCGCTGGCGTCAGTCCAGGCTGGGGCGGGTTGTGGTGGCTCCGAGCGCGGAGGTTTGGTGACGGGCGATTGCCACAGAGCTGCCGGAGTGAGGTCAGATTAGCCCAAGTTATCTTCAGGGACTAGGGGAGGCTGGCAGTGTTTTGCTGGAATAACCTGGGAGCTGTGACAAATGTCGTCACTTTCCGTAACACCAGCTGATGAGCTTCATCTCGGGAGGCGGGGAGCCCGCGCTCCATCCCAAAGAACCTGAAAGCTGAGCCATTTCAAAAATGGGGTCTTTAGCGTGATTACTGAGGAGGTGTCGTTGCGTCAGCCGGGGAGCGAGGAGGCTCTGCAGGGCAGTTAGGCTGTAGCCGGAGGAGATCCGCACGTTTTCCAAGCTGCGGCTTCCCGGGAGGTGTTCACGTGAGGATAACGTGCCGGGTCGGCAGGGATGCTGCCGGGTCCGCGGGCAGGGGGAGCGCGCGGGGTGCGGAGCCGCGCTGGCAGGCGCAGGGCTGGGATTTTACCTAGTGTGACTGGAAGGAAAGTGCTGAGTCTTCACAGACCAAGGCTTTTGGAAGGAGTTCTTTTATTTAGCGAGTCTGGGCTGCTGTCAATAAGTTCTGTGGTTTTAGGGCACCATATGCTGTATTCAACACTTTGCCAATCTCGTTAAATGAATCCAGACTAGGCTGTTCACAGAACAGGACGGAGCAGCTGGAAGCGGTGTATGTCGCAGTCCATCATTATAAGGCCGTCGGATAAAAACCTTCTCTTTGGTCTGACATTACAACCTTAATAATCCTCCATCCATATTAGCTTTCTCTTTGCTATGCAAGAGAAAAGTCCAGAAAGGAGACGTTAACATGTCTCCGTTAATACCACTGACATTATTTTTATTAAAACGTGGAGTGAATGTGCCTGGGATAAGGAGAGAAAGGGTTTCTCTGCCCCGTGCGTGCAGGTAGGCTTCAGCCCGAGCCCCTCCTGTGCCCAACACAGCCCTGGGACCGGGAGCCCTTGGCAGAGCCGCGCTCCTGCAGCCTCCTGGGACCTTGGAAAACACCAGGATTTATCCTGCCGGGAATTTCAAACCAAGGTGCTTTCTCCTTTTCAGTTCAATGCTCTTATTTTCTTCTCCCCAAAGAAGGCACCAAGCATTGGGATTAATATGTAAACCTCAACCTTTCCTTCAGTGGATAAACTTCTCTCTGCTCAGAGAAAAATGCCCATCGGAAAGCAGTGATTCCTCCCTGCCCTTCTTGGCAAGAGGCTTTCTCTGCCGGGGGGAGCCGAGGGGTGATGCTGTCCGGGGGGGGTCTGGATGCAGGAGCGGGTGCAGGCAGAGCAGACAGGGCTGCGGGAGGAAAGGTAGCCGGGTCCTGCCCGGCTGGAGCGTTAGTCCTGGGTTTTGCACTTTAATGTAACTGCCAGTTGTACAAATTAATTAAAAATAACTGAAGAAAAATCCCAAAGAAAGGCCCTGCTTCCTCTGGTGAAGATTAATCATTAGTTGAGCCTTTTTCTTATGAAAATACAGATCCATGGTAGCCCCAGGCAAAAGATTCCCAGGGAGAGCCCTCACCATTCGTGCTCTGAGTTAGGGAAATCGCTTTGAAAGCATCTGACAACTAAAGCAGAACATGTTGAGTAACTTGGCAACACTCAGAAAACATCTTGAAATGGTTTTTGTTCAACACATTTTGCTTTGCTTCAATAGGAGATGTCAGGGCAGTTCATTCACTGCCACTCAGGACTGCAGGCGATGCTGGGAGAGGGTTCCTCTGCCCGCGTTTAAAAAAAGAAAAAAGAAAATCCCCGATATCTGCTGCTCCCAGGGCAGGATCCTCCTCGGCGATGCGACGGAGCTTCCCATTGCCGAGCTCCGTGGGTCCCTTCTGGCTGGCGAGGTCTCCCCGCGCCGCGTTTGCCGGGGAGGTGGGTGAGTTCCAGCACGGAGCGGGGCCGTTTGCGCGGCCGGTGGGACAGGGTCCCCCCCGTCCTGCAGCGAGGGGGCACTGCCTTGTGCTCAGCCTTGGGATTGAAGGCTCTGCCCTCAAAAAGTCATGCAGCAGCTTGTGATAAATTATAACATGATACCTCGCTACCACCCTGGAAAGGAATGCCTATAGACATTGGTAGAGACAAACATAGTTGGATTCTGCGAAAATCCCTATTAAAATCTATGTGATGTGGCAGACAATTTTGTTATGGACTTTTTGAGCTGCCCTGTGGCTTCCCATCCATGGGGGTATAAATCTCTCTTAAATTATATTTGGAAAGTTAGGAAGGGCAGTGGCTAATGTTTACGTGGGACATTAATAATGATGTACTTTAGCCCATCAAACAAAGTCAGCTCTTGGGCATCCCAGTGGGGTGATGAAACCCCGTGATGGCCCCTTCTCCCCCCAAGAGGAGCCTCTTTGGAGCTCCTGGATCACAGCAGCTCTGGGGGGGCTGCACAGGTCCAAGCATCCTTTAGGTTTCTTTCAGGAGTGAAGGTTTTCACCAGCTCTTTTGGGGTGTTCTTGGTCCGTATGGCTCTTTGGGTGACTGCTTGCAGTCCTGCGCATCGCTGCAGGGAGGGGGATAGGAATACGCCTGCTCTGCTTGTCCTCTGAGTGCCAGCCAAGAGCCAGCACCTGACTCCTGAAAAATCCCAGTGTTTTACACCATTCCTGCAGCCCCAGGCTCCATCTCAAACAACGAAGCCAGCACCAACCACGCTCCTCACGGCTGAGCGGAGAAGAGCATCCTCCCCAAAATGGGGCTCCCAAAACCACGGGCTGGTCCTTTGCAAGGGGGGTGGTCCCACACGTGGCCTTCCACAGCGTGGTCCATGCAGGACGTGCAGCTGCCTCCTCCCGGGACGTAGGCTGGTGGATGCTCATCCCGCTGGGCGTAGAGGAAGGAGGAGGTTTTCCTCCATCCCAGGTCGTGCAGGGCTGCGTCGAGACCCTGCGAGGGAGGTCACTGGCATCAGCAGTTTCCAATGGGATCTTCAGTTCTGCCCTTCTGGGATGAAGGGAGCAAAGGAAGGGCTGTGGTCATACGCGAAGGATAAATCATTTTCAAATAAGGATCGTAAAAAAAATTAAATAATTCCTTTTAAAAGTTGTTGGGGATTTTATCAAAGCTCTCAGCCCTCGCTCGCAGGACTGGGTGTTCACGGGCAGATGGGCTGAGTTACTAAAGACCATTCCTCCAGCTTCCTTTCATACGCTGCGTATCTAGTACTTTTGTTCGAAACAAGGTCAGGAGTGGTTTCCAGTCTCATTAGCATTTTATGATGATTCTTTTTCAGCCCGGGAAGTCGACGACTTTGCTTGTTGTAAACTGAAACTCAAAAAAAAAATTAGGTTTGGCTTATGAAATTTGGGGTTGGTTTTACCATTTTTAAACGTATTTGGGAACTGTACGTGCTTGAGTTGTGAAACAAAAAGACATTTCAAGCCAGACAGTTATTTTTTTTTTAATTTTGAAACTTGTCAAAACAAGCCATATTGATAATTATGACCAATTTTTTTCAATTGAGAAATGTATCAAGAACAGCCCTTTCCCACAAAACCTTTCATTTTCAAAAAATAAAATGAAAAAAATCAATCACACTTTTTCTGCTCGCACAGTTGGAACTGGTGGCAGTGGATTCGGAGAGAATAGCAATTTGTAAGGAATTCCAACCAGCTCTACTTAAAATAGCATCCAGCCAGTTTCTTGGGGGCAGTAGGCTGAGCGGCTCTGTGGTGAAAGCAAACTGGAGAGCTGCCTTTCTTACCGGGATGGTTTCAGTCCTGGATAACACACCTTGGGAACCGCAGGGGCACGTTCCCCGTGGGAATTCGCTGCTGAGATGCCCGGGAGGAAGCATCTCTTCTTCCCCAGGTCCTCGGCCGGTGGCGGGTGCCCCCAGCCATCCCTCTAACCAAGCTCTCTTCTTTTCCAAACCAAAATGAATCCAGCTTCTTCTAGCCTTCAGTACATTCAGACATCACAGTTGCGGGATGCCTTCGAAACCAGAGATACTCCCGTACGTTCGCGGGAGTTTAAATTTGGAAGAAATTCAATGCGCTGGCCCGGCGGGGATGCCACAAAGCGAGAGAAGGAACCGCCGCGGTTCAACAAGAACCGTTTTAAGGGAGAGCACTGAAGAGAGCCCCAAAGAAAGCATCCTTGCCCTCTTGCCCTTCTCCGTTGGGAGCGCGGGAGATGCCGTTTCTGGCAGCCGAGGCGAGGTCTCTCTCTGCCCCTCTGCTGCCAGCCAGGGCCGGGCTGGGGGGTCCCGGCACACCGGCGGGCACGAGGGGTGCGGGGGGGAACCTCGGCAGGGACCGGGATGGCTTCGCCTGTGTGTGTGTGTGAGACCAGGCTGCTTGTGACCGAACCCTTCTCAAGTGCTCGTGAAATGTCGGTGGTTACAGAGCTCAGACCTACAACAAAAAAGGTCCTTTTACAGTACGTGGTGGCGGGGTGAAAAAAACCAACAAAACCAACCATACTGCTGAAGTCAAAATATTCTTTCTAATCCCCCTGCCCGGTTTCTCTTTCTTTCCAGCTTTCTTCCTCTGCCTCCCAGACCCTCCCTCTCTGTTCCCACCCCCCCTTCTGTTTCTCTTTCTCCCCTCTGTCATAAGAAAGTGACTGTGTCCTCGAGGGGACAGTTTTCTTATGCCATTTTATACACTGTGCTTCATGTTTAGAACTTTTTTGCACTAGTTCCTATTACATTTATTTTCCAAAATGGTTTGACAGAAAACAAACAAAAAAAACCAACAAAAACACAAAACCATGCTATAATTCAGTTGTATTAAAAATATTATCCTACTACTCTCTGTGTTCAATAGTCTCTGTACCTGTAATGCTTTCAGTTCTGTTGTATTTTGGGGCAGAGGTTTTCTCCGCTCCTTGTTTAACCCAGTAAAGAAATAAAATGTTAAGAATTGATGATAACATCCTCCTCCCTTTCTCTGCGGTTTAATTTGGGCCGTGTAGGTCCCGGCGTGCTGCTCGCCATCCGGGGAGACGCAGTGGGACGGGCTGCCGGCCCCCTGCTCCCCACCAGAACCTGCCCTGCAAACTCGGTCTCTGTCCTACGGGTGTTTTTTT